ATAATTTCATATCCGGTCACATGGGCGGCAAGCCACTCCCACAAAGAGGCCACACCCACAGAGTAGGTTCCAACAATTTTTGAAACCCACCACTGCCATAGAGCCTTATCAAAAGATTTACCCCGTGTTAGAAACCCTAGCATCTCTCACTAATTGGATGCAATGGTTACATTTTTGTAATGGTAGATGCAGAGCAGAAGGGGTGTGGTGACCTAGCAGTTAAGTTAATAGGTTTGTTGACTGTAAGGTAGGCAGTTTGAGACCAGGGGTGGGTTCCTGTACTGGTTGGTACTTGTTCACTCTGTGTGTGCTTCACTTGCACGCACGCTGCACATTACTTGTGCACACACAGTTGACTGTAAATTGTTCTGTGCAGAAACATGCTGGCAATGGCAGAAGAGACCAAGGAACTGGTTTGGGGGCATGGCCGGCCTGGTTGCTGCCAGTTCTGCGATCCAGGCCAAATCACCACTACCAGTCCAGCCGAACCGGGCCGAACCAGGCTGAACCAGGAGCAACCCACTTCTGTTTGAGACCCAGGTAGTGTGTGATGGGTGAGCTCCTGTCCTTGCTCCAGTTCCTGCCCACCTAACAGTTTGAAAGCATGCAAACACAAGTAGATAAATAGGTACCACTTCAGTGGGAAAGTAACAGAGTTGCATGCACCTTCAGTGTATAGCAATAACACTTAGACTTATTAACTGCTTCACAGTGTTTTAACAGCCCTCTCTAAGCAGTTTACAGAGTCAGCCTATTGCCCACAACAATCTGGGTCATCATTTTATCAACCTCAGAAGGATGGAAGGCTGAGTCAACCTTGAGCCTGGTGAGATTTGAATTGCCAAATTGCAGACAGCCGGCAGTGAACAGAAATAGCCTGCAGTACTTCACTCTGATCACTGCGCCACCGCAGCTCATATAGTCATGCTGACCACATGACCATGGAAATGCCTTCAGATAATGCTGGCTTCTTTGGCTAGGAAATGGAGGTAAGCGCCACCCCCTTAGAATCAGACATGACTGGGCAGGGAAAACATTATATACAGAGCAGAGTAGTAACACCACATTGAATGCCAGCCCTGCCCCAAGCTTTGTGAGTTTCTAAAATAAAGAAATAATATTTTTTTTCAAGTGTGCTGGCACTGTGCTATGGCAGATAGCTTATTAGTGGGCTCTTGATATGCTTCCTCCTAAAATCTCAAATTTCTTGGTGCAGAAAATGGTTGCTTTAGGTTTGGTGGTAATGGGAATTCGCTGAAAGGGATGTTGGTTTTTAATGGAGGTGCAGTGCAGTAGATAAAAAAAAAACTAAAAGCAGAAAGAAAGATTGTGAGAGGTTGTGGTCATGATTCTGAAGGCCATTTATCCTTATTGACTAAGGTCCAACTTGTAAATGCTAGTCGTTCCCAACTCTAAGGGGCAGTGCTCATCTTCATTTCAAAGCCAAAGAGCCAGCGCTGTCCGAAGATGTCTCCGTGGTCATGTGGCCGGCATGACTAAATGGAAAAGGCGCACGGAGTGCTGTTACCTTCCCACCAAAATGGTCCCTATTTTTCTACTTGCATTTTTTACATGCTTTCAAACTGCTAGGTTGGCAGAAGCTGGGACAAGTAATGGGAGTTCACTCTGTTAAGTGGCGCTAGGGATTCGAACCACCAAACTGCCAACCTTTCTGATAGACAAGCTCAGCGTCTTATTCACTGAGCCGCCGCATCCCTTTATTGACTGCTAAAAGCTTAAGCCTACTGAAGAAGGCACACATTGATTATGTATTGATTGGTCCTACGCTTTCCAATAGTTGACATGTGATAGTCCATTTTCTACAGTTTTTTATTAGATTTGTGTCTGGCTTGATTAAATCCTACATAGTGAGTTGATTGCATAATGATAGCCCTTTGAGACAACATGATACCCATCACAGAATGCCTGATATACAGGTAGTCCTCACGTTACGACCATAACAGAGTCCCAAATTTATGTTGTTAAGTGAAACATTTGTTAAGTGAGTTTTGCCCCATTTTATGAGTTTTCTTGCCATGGTTGCTAAGTGAATCTGGATTGCCAATTGATTTTGCTTGTCAGAAGGTCGCAAAAACTGATCACATGGCCCCAGGGCACTGCAACCGTCATAAATATGAACTAGTTGCCAAGCATCTGAATTTTGATCATGTGACCACAGGGATGATGCAATGGTCGCAAATGTGAAAACTGCTGTAACTCGAGGACCATCTGTACTTTATTAAGGCTGGATGGAGATGTGTCTGCAACCTTAAATGGAGAATTTGAATAATTCTGCCCAGTTGGATGGAAATTGTGATCTTCAGAAGCCTTGAATGTGATAGAGAAGAGAGAGAGAAAAAAATAGGAGGCAGATTATATAAAGATTTAAAACCCATGATGGCGAACCTATGGCATGCGTGCCAGAGGTGACATGCAGAGCCCTCTCTGCGAGCATGCGAGCCATTGCTCCACTGTCCATGTGTACACTCCTTCTGCCGGCCAGCAGGTTTTCAGGTCTCTGCCATGTATGCGGGGAGTGCATATGGGAGACGTACAGACATGTGGGGGGAGGCATGTGCGCATGCATGAGGGGTGGGATGCACATGGGGGATGTGCACGCATTTCGGCCCCCCATGACAAAAAGGTTAGCCATCACTGATTTAGCCCATAGAGAAAAAGCCTTTGTAGCTATGTTCTGTCTCTTTATATGCAGGGAAAGTACGACCAGTCTGTTAAAAACTCGTAAATCCCATCCCACTGTAAAATTATTCTCTCTTTCTTAAATATTAAGGGTTCTTTTCTAGCTTGGATTCTTTGCAGACGACAATTCATCTACTATATTTCCATAGTATAAGGCAGTGACTTTCTACCTTTTTATTTTTCTCCCTCATAAAAAGTCTAGGAATTGAAAATATAATGGGCTATTAATCAAAAATGTGAAGAGCTGTTAAAGCAGTGAACTGTGTGAATATACATTTGTTCCTATTAAGCGGTGAAATGTGAGAGCAGCTTCTGTACAGTCGCTGCATGGAAGGTAGTTCATTCAACAGATAATGGCCCAAAGGCATTGCAGCTCGGCTGCATATCTGTATTATTGGAATCTATATCTGATTATCCATATTTTATTCTGTACATACAGCTGTGTCATAATTTATATTTGTGCATATCTGGAAATTCCCTTTAAGCTATTCCAGGGGTTTTGCCCATCCCTGTTTAAGGACTGAGCTATAAACACAAGGAACTTGGGTTCAATATCAAACCCATGTGAGTCCTTACATGTCAAGAGGGGGCATGGAAAGACAGGGATTATTT